ATATTAGTAGTATTAGTGTTGGTATTATATTAGCGTTAGTATTATTAGTATTGCTATTAGTAATAATATAATTATTATTCTATTAATTGGGGTAATTAATAGGGGTCAGATAGACTTGATGCAATTTATGTAACAATAATATTATTATTAATATTAGTGTTAGTAGTGTTAGTGTTGGTACTGATATTAGTGTTAGCATTATTAGTATTGGTATTAGTAGTAATATTGTTATTATATTAATTGGGGTAATTAATAGGGCTCAGATAAACTTGGTGTTGTGTAGATAATAATATTATTAATAATATTAGTAGTATTAGTGTTGGTATTAATATTAGCATTAGAATTATTGGCATTGGTATTAGTAGTAATATAATTATTATTCTATTAATTGAGGTAATTAATAGGGGTCAGATAGAGTTGGTGACATGTAATAATATTAATAATATTTGTAATATTAGTACTGTTAGTGTTAGTAGTATTAGTGTTGGCATTAATATTAGCATTAGTATTATTAGTATTGGTATCAGTAGTAATATTACTATTAAATTAATGGGGGTAATTAATAGGGGTCAGAGTTGGTGTTGCATAGGTAATAATATTATTATTAATAATATTAGTAGTATTAGTGTTGGTATTAATATTAGCGTTAATGTTATTAGTACTGGTATTAGTAGTAATATAATTATTATAATAATTGGGGTAATTAATAGGGTGTAATTTATATAATAATATTAGTAGTAATAGTAGCATTAATATAATTAGTGTTAGTACTCATATTAATATTGGTAGTACTATAAGTAATAATATTAATATTATAATATTAATTGGGGTAATTAATGGGGTGAGATAGGATTGGTGACATTTATACAATAATACTATTATTAATATTAGTGCTAATATAATTAGTGTTAATATGAATATTAGTATTGGTAGTATTTTTTGTATTAGCAGTAGAGTTAGAATTACTATTAATATAATTATCATATTAATTGGTGTAATTAATAGGTGTCAGACAAAGTTGTTGTAAATTATGTAGTAATAATATTCTTTATATTATTAATATTAATAATAAGTATTATTTGTAGTATTAGCACTACATGAAAAATAAATTGTAAGATGGATATTAACATTAATATTAACAAACATTAATATTAATAAATATTGCATTAATCATTACTCTTAGTTTTAATATTAGTATTAATACAGGTATAAATATTGTACTAATATTACTATTATTTAAAGAATCATTAAAATTATCATCCATTAATATGGATGTTAATAGTAATAGTAATAATAAATAGCAATATTAATAAATAATGCAATAATTATATTATTGTCGATATTATAAATATTGGTATTATTAGTATAATTAATATTAATAGTATTGTTAGCATTAGGATAATATTACTGTTCTATTAATAACAAATAGTAATATGGATGTTACTATTAATGTATATTTCTAATAATTAATTAATACATGGAATATATACTATCATAACATATAATGTTATTAAAAATATATAATATATAGTTTTATAAAATATTAATTCTAATTATTTACCTAATTATAAATTATATAATAAATATGTATATTAATATTCAATCTAATAATATCTGCATAATTATAAATCTTATATAGTTTGGTAAATATAGCATGAAATACAGTTTTTAAATTAAATATTAATTGTCTTATTAAACATTAATTTTCTTATTAATTAATAAATACCTATTATTTTATATGCAGATTATAACACATTATGATGTAATTATATACAATACAATATCTAAAATTACAATCATTGTTTAATGAAATAAGTAATTATAACACTTAATAAAATATTATATTGCTTTATTAACAATAATAATAACATTTATAATTCTAATAATTATTAAGTTATTAATTATTTTGTATATAATTTTACCTTTAACATTAGATATATCATTATTACATTATTAGTATTATGTGTACTATAATTAATAATATGCATAATTATCAATAATTAATAATTACATAAATCATATATTGATGAATAAAATATTGTACATATAATATCTTAATACATTAAATATTATTCATTAATTTATTTAACACAACTAATAAAAAATCACCAATTTTATTACTATATCTAGCACTTAAGGTAATTAATATAATAATGAAATATATAATTAATATTGTAATTTAATTGTCATCATTTATTCAATTAATAGAATTAATTTAATTGAGAAAATCCCCAAAAATTATTTATAATATGGATTATTAATTATAATATTTATAATGGTACTAATTACCAAAAGTTATTAATAATGGTGAATGTATAACTTTACCATTAAATATATACATATTTATTATTAGTATTTATTAATATGTACAATATTAATAAAACTATTAATTTAATGTAGATAATCAAGGAAATTACATTTAATTAAATGTTTATTAATAGTATTGATAATTAATAAAGTTTAGATTATTATTTAATATTACTTTATTATTAATACTCTAATTAATATAATGGAATTAATAGAATTAATAGAATTTGAATAATCTAATTTAATTATATAATTAATATAATTTAATTAATGAATTGAATTGAATATTGTCGTTAATTTAATTAATTAGTACAAATAATTTAATTGAGACGATCCCCTCGGAATCTCCGCTGGGATCGAGTGGAATTCGGGATCCACCAGGAGGAACCTCCAGGGGACACCAGGGAAGGGCCTGGGGAGCTCCAGGAGGGGCTGGTCCTTCAAAAACCGGGATCGGATCCCACCAGATCCCACCAAGTCCCACCAGATCCCACCAACCCCACCCCCCGGAGCTCCTTGATCCCTCTTCTCCTGGGCTGCATCCCGAAGTCCAGCCCGCTCTCCTGGCAGGGCTTTGGTTGGGATGTTCCTCACAGGTCCCTTCCCACCCCAACCATTCCATCATCGGAATCCATGGTTTGAGGCCACCCGCTGGTGGATGTCCAGAAGGTTCCACCAGGTCCCAGAGCTTCTTCTGGGATAGTCCAGAAAGTTCCATCCATTCCCCAGGGCTGTTGGGACGGTCCAGAAGGTTCCACCAGATCCCCAGAGCTTCTTCTGGGATGGTCCAGAAAGTTCCATCAGATCCCCAGGGCTGTTGGGATGGTCCAGAAGGTTCCACCAGGTGTCCAGGGCTGCTGGGATGTTCCAGAAGGTTCCACCAGATCCCCAGAGCTTTTTCTGGAATAGTCCAGAAGGTTCCACCAGGTCTTGAGAGCTTCCTCTGGGATAGTCCAGAAGGTCCCACCAGGTGTCCAGGGCTTCCTCTGGGATGGTTCAGGAGGTTGAAGGTTCCACCAGGTCTCCAAGGTTCTGGGAATGATCCAGAAGGTTCCATTAGGTCCCCAGGGTTGTTGGGATGGTCCAGAAGGTCCCACCAGGTCCCCAGGGCTGCTGGGATGTTCCAGAAGGGTCCAACAGGTCCCAGAGCTTCTCCTGGGATGGGCCAGAACATCCCACCAGGTGTCCACCTGGGATGGTCCAGAAGGTTCCACCAGGTCTGCAGGGCTGTTGGATGTCCAGAAGGTTCCACCAGGTCTCGAGAGCTTCTTCTGGGATAGTCCAGAAGGCCCCGCCAGGTCTCCAGGGCTTCCTCTGAGATGGTCCAGAAGGTTGAAGGTTCCACCAGGTCCCCAAGGCTCTGGGAATGATCCAGAAGCCCCCACCAGGTCCTCAGGGTTGTTGGGATGGTCCAGAAGGATCCACCAGGTCCCAGAGCTTCTTCTAGGATCATCCAGAATGTCCTGCCAGGTCTCCAGGGCTTCCTCTGGGATGGTCCAGAAGGTTCCACCAGGTCCCCGGGGCTGTTGGGATGATCCAGAAGGTGCCAGCAGGTCTCCAGGGCTTCTTCTGGAATGTTACAGAAGGTCCCATCAAGCCTGCAGGGTTGTTGGGATAGGTGTCATCTCCTCACTGGAGGACATCAGGAAGAGGGAATGGGATGAAGATGGAAGTGGTGGGATCTGGAGAAGACAGATGGGATGGGAGTGATGGCCCCCAAAAGCCACCCCAGATGGAGCCACCACGGAGCTCCACATTTGGTGGTTCCTTCAAGGTTCTTGTGAGGTTTGAGGTCCTCCTCAAGCCCCCCATGAGTGGTGACAAGGATGGAGATGGAGCAGCACCATGGGGAGGGGAAAGGGATGGGAAAGGACCTCTTCCAGGTCCTGGAGGTGACATCCCACTGTCCTGGAGGTGACATCCCACCACCCAGCGTGTCTTCTCTTGCAGGGGTGGCCATCAGCACTTACGCCAAGTACTGCTACAACAAACTCCAGAAGGCGGCGCTGACCGGGGCCAAGAAGGTACCAGAAAATGGGGTGGGCTTGGGAAGGGCTGGACGAGGAGGTCACCTCCCACCGGGGTCATCCCGGAGCTCCTGGGATTCGGGAACGGGCTGGAGGAGGGAGGGAGGTGGTGGCGGGTGGTGATTGTGGTGAGGAGAACTTCTGGAGAACTTCTGGAGAGCGTCTGGGGATCATCTAAGGACCTTCTAGAGAACTTCTGGGAACCTTCTGGAACATTTCTGGAGAACTTCTTGTAGGGAGCTTCTGGAAAGCTTTTGAGGATTTTCTGAAGAACTTCTAAGAACCTTCTGGGAACCTTCTGGAAAGCTTGACAGGATCTTCTAGGCACCTCTTAAAATCTGTCTGGAGACCTTCTGAGAACTTTCTGAAGACTTCTGGAGATCTTCTGGAAATTTTCTGGAGAGTTTCTGATAATCTTGTGAAGACCTTTAGGGGACCTTCTGGGAACCTTCTGGAAGCTTTCTAAGGACCTTCTGTGGGCCTTCAGAAGACATTCCAGAGACCATGCGGAGATCTTCAGACCTGAAAACCTTGCAGGGAGGACCTTCTGGGAGCTTTCTAAGGAACTTCTGGAGAAGTTTTGGGATTCCTCTGGAGACCTTCTGAAGACTTTCTGGAGACCTTTTAAGAATCTTCTGTGGATTTTCTGAAGACATCCTGGACACTGACAGAGTCTGACTGACTGACGGACTGAGGATCTTCTGGAGATCTTCTGGAAACTTTCTGGAGATCATCTGGGAATTCTCTGAAGATCTTGTAGGGATCTTCTGAGAACCTTTCAAGGATCTTCAGGAGAACTTCTGAGACTCTTCTAGAGACCTTCTGAAGACTTTCTGGAAACCTTCTGGAGACCTTTTGGGGATTTTCTGGAGACTTTCTGAAGACATTCCAGAGACAAACAGGTGATCTTCAAGAGACCTTCTGCAAACTCTCTGGAGACCTCCTGGGAGCTGTCCAAGGAACTTCTGGAGATCTTCTGGAAACTCTCTGGAGACCTTCTGAAAACCTTATAGGGAGGGACCTTCTGGGAACTTTCTAAGGAACTCCTGAAGACCTTCTGGAAGCCCAGTGCCAATGTTCAGCTTTCCAGAAGCATCCCAGAGTTGTGGCTCTTTCTCCTGGCAAAATCCATCGATGGAGATCCTCCAGCGTGGCCATGGTCCCACCAAGCTCCATAGGGTTGGATCCACTTCTGAATCAAGATGATGGATGGATGGATGGATGGATGATGGATGGATGATGGATGATGGATGGTGGAACCACCTTGACCAAGTTGCCTGGAATCCATCCATGGCTCCATCACCATCCCCATGAAGCTGAACCAGGGGGGTTTAGGGATTGAGCAGATCCCACCCTGGCCACCATGGAGGCCACCGGTGACCTCTGATGTCTCCTGCAGGGCCTGAAGAAGCCAAACATCGAGGAGATCCGTCACGCCAAGAACGCCGTCTTCAACCCGTCCATGTTCGGCAGCTCCCTGCAGGACATCGTGGCCATGCAGAAGGAGCGGTACCCGGACCGGCAGCTGCCCTGGGTGCAGACCCGGCTCTCCGAGGAGGTCCTGGCGCTCAATGGGGACCAGACCGAGGGCATCTTCAGGTAAAGCCACCCCACGGTCATGGGGACACGTCAAGGTGGTGGCAAGCTGGAGGTTCTCATAAGAATTGTCTCAAAATGGGGCAAGTTCACGTTTCTGGGCGTTCTTCTCCTCTGGTGGGTGCTCCAAGGCCATGGGGGTTTCTTCATGGTGGCCACCAAAGTCATGGCAAGGCCTTGGTGGCAACATCCACTGGGTCCCTCCAACTTCTCCTTGGGGGTTTCTCCATGGTGGCCACCAGAGTGATAGCAGGGTCTTAGTGGCACCAAGCTCCCAAAACAGCTCCAAGGCCATGGAGGTTTCTCCACAGTGACCACCAAAGTCATGGCAGTGTCTTGGTGGCACCATCCAGTGGGTCCCTCCAGCTTCTCCTTGGTCCAAGACCATAGAGGTTTCTCCACAGTGGCCACCAGTCGTGGTGGGGTTTTGGTGGCACCAAGCTCCCAAAACAGCTCCAAGGCCATGGAGGTTTCTCCATGTTGACCACCAGTCATGGTGTGGTTTCGGTGGCACTAAGCTCCCAAGATGGCTCCAGGGCCATGGAGGTTTCTCCATGGTGTCCCCCAAGATGGGGTCTTGGTGGCACCAACCAGCTCCATGCCCAGCTGATGTCCCCTCCTGGTCCTCCTGGAGCACCCAAAGCTGTTGGGCTGGGAGGTCCCCATCGGTCTCTCGGCCACCGACGCTTCTTCCCCCCACAGGGTCCCTGGTGACATCGACGAGGTCAACGCCCTCAAGCTGCAGGTGGACCAATGGAAGATCCCCACCGGCTTGGAGGACCCGCACGTTCCCGGTAGGACCTCGGGGCGATGTTTGGTGGGACCAGAACCTCCATCTAGAAGATCTCACACCTTCTCCTCTTCTCCGTGTCCTCTCCAGCGTCGCTGCTGAAGCTGTGGTACCGCGAGCTGGAGGAGCCGCTGATCCCCCACGAGTTCTACGAGCAGTGCATCTCCCACTACGAGAACCCCGAGGCCGCCATCGCCGTCGTCCACTCCCTGCCCCGGATCAACAAGATGGTGCTGTGCTACCTCATCCGCTTCCTCCAGGTACAACAGCACCTTCTGCTGGCCCACCAGGTGGCCTCCAGGTCTGGTTCCTTCTCTTGAGGTGGTTTTGGGTTCTTTGAGGTCACCATGTGGTGGCCAAGAAGCAGGACTTCCACCAAATCCATTGCTTCCATTTTCCTCCTCCCATTCCATGAGTTTGTGTTCCTGGTGACTCTCCTGGTTCCTTCATCTGAGGTGGTTTTGGGTTCTCCAACTTCATCATGTGGTGACCCCCATCTCCCTCAAGAACCAGGGGGTCCATGTGGTCCTTCCATCCATCTCCCACCAGTCCCATCACCTCCACCCACCCCAGGTGTTCATGGCCTCCTGGATGACCCTCCTGCTTCCTTCTGAGGTGGTTTTGGGTTCTCCAAGGTCACCACATGGTGACCCCCATCTCCCTCAAGAACCAGGGGGTCCCTGTGGTCTTTCCACCCATCTCCCATCAACCCCATCACCTTCATCTTCCTCCTCCCACCCAAGGTGTCTGTGTCCTCTTGTGTGACCTCTAGGCTTGGTTCCTTCTCTTGAGGTGGTTTTGGATTCTCCAACTTCATCACACTCCTCCCACCCCATGCGTTGGTACTCCTGGAGACCCTCCTGGTTCCCTCTCCTGAGGTGGTTTTGGGTTCTTCGAGGTCACCATGTGGTGTCCAAGAACTGGAAGTTCCACCAACCCCATAATCTCCATCTTTCTCCTGGTGACCAAGAACCAGGAGTTCCACCAATCCCATCAGCTCCATCTTCCTCCTCCCACCCCATAAGTTGGTATTCCTGGAGACCCTCCTGGTTCCCTCTCCTGAGGTGGTTTTGGGTTCTTCGAGGTCACCATGTGGTGTCCAAGAACTGGAAGTTCCACCAACCCCATAATCTCCATCTTTCTCCTCCCATTCCATGAGTTGGTGCCCCTGGTGACCTCCTGGTTCCTTCTCTTGAGGTGGTTTTGGCTTCTCCAAGGTCACCATGAGAAGAACCGAGAGTTCCACAAATCCCATCTCTTCCATCTCCCTTCTATCACTCCATGAGTTCATGCCCCTGCTTGACCCTCCTGCTTCCTTCTCCTGAGGTGGTTTTGGGTTCTTCGAGGTCACCATGTGGTGGCCAAGAACCAGGAGTTCCACCAATCCTATAATCTCCCATCTTTCTCCATCCACCCCATGAGTTCATGCTCCTGGTGACCTCCTGGTTCCTTCTCCTGAGGTGATTTTGGCTTCTCCAAGGTCACCATGAGAAGAACCAAGAGTTCCACCAATCCCATCTCTTCCATCTCCCTTCTATCACTCCATGAGTTCATGCCCCTGCTTGACCCTCCTGCTTCCTTCTCCTGAGGTGGTTTTGGGTTCTCCAAGGTCACCACCTGGTGAAGAACCAAGCCCACATGGTCCTTCCACCCATCTCCCACCAACCCCGTGACCTCCACTTTTCTCCTCCCACCACCTCTAGGTCTTCGTGCAGCCGGCCAACGTGGCCGTCACCAAGATGGACGTCAATAACCTGGCCATGGTGATGGCCCCCAACTGCCTGCGCTGCCAATCGGACGACCCGCGGATCATCTTCGAGAACACGCGCAAGGAGATGTCCTTCATCCGTGTCCTCATCCAGCACCTGGACACCAGCTTCATGGAGGGCGTCCTATAGCGGCTGCCACCGCGCTGTCCCCACCCCGCCACCGGCCCCCTGTCCCCTCCGAGGGTCAAAGTCCCCAGGTGGTGGCACCGATCTCCACCAAGAAACAGGAGATCCATGAGGTTCTCCACCATGTGGTGAGCGCCATCTCCACCAAGAACCGGGAGGTCTGTGAGGTTCTCCAAATTCACCGTGTGGTGAGCTCCATCTCCACCAACAACTGGGAAGTCTTTGAGGTTCTTCACCATGTGGTGAGCACCATCTCCACCAAGAACCGGGAGGTCTGTGAGGTTCTCCAAATTCACCGTGTGGTGAGCTCCATCTCCACCAACAACTGGGAAGTCTTTGAGGTTCTTCACCATGTGGTGAGCTCCATCTCCACCAAGAACTGGGAAGTCTTTGAGGTTCTCCACCACATGGTGAGTTCCATCTCCACCTAGAACCAGGAGTTCCGTGCAATTCTTCACCATGTGGTGAGCTCCATCTCCAAGAACCGGGAGGTCTGTGAGGTTCTCCAAATTTACCACGTGGTGAGCTCCATCTCCACCTAGAACCAGGAGTTCCATGAGGTTCTTCACCACATGGTGAGCTCCATCTCCACCTAGAACCAGGAGTTCCATGTAGTTCTTCCGTGTGGTGAGCTCCATCTCCACCAAGAACCAGGAGTTCCGTGAGGTTCTCCAACTTCACCACGTGGTGAGCTCCATCTCCAGCTGGACCTCATGGACGGAGGGCATCCAGGGATTGTCTCCGTCCTTTCCCGCCCGGACAAGGAGAAGTCCTTGAGGTCCATCCCGACCTTCTGGCTGTGTCACTGCCTGGTTCTTCGCTGGGGGAGTCACGAGGAACATCCTGGCTCTGTGGGGTCTCCATGGGGTTGGGAAGGTGGGAGAAGTTCACCTGGACACCAGGGGACTACAATGACATTTCTCCACCACAGGGAAAAGACCTGGGAGGTCCGCATGGGAGTGGTGGCCCTGGGGGGGTTGTGGTGGCCGATTGTCCAGCCTGGAGAAGCTGGGTGGGCTGGATGTCCCCATGTGTCACCATGTCCATCCTGTCACACGTTGGCACCACCGGGACCTGTCTCGGAACCCACCGGGTCTGTTGGACCTGTCCCAGGACCTCCCATCTGCTCCTGGTCCTTCTGGACCCATCTTGGGGTCCAGCATCTTCTGGTCCTTCTGAACCCATCTTGGGGTCCACCATCAACTCCTGGATCTTGGGGTCCATCATCTCTTCCTGGTCCTCCTCGGGCCATACTGGGGTCCACCATCAACTCCTGGATCTTGGGGTCCATCATCTCTTCCTGGTCCTCCTCGGGCCATACTGGGGTCCACCATCAACTCCTGGAGCCCTTTTGGGTCCATCATCTCCTCGTCCTCCTGGACCCATCTTGGCCCTCATCATCTCCGCCAGCTTCTGCTGGACCTGTTTTGGTGCCCTTCCCCTCCTCCTCCTGGACCCATCCTGGTGTTGATCTTCTCCCGGCCCTCCAGGTCTCACCTTGGTGTCCATCTCCTCCTGCTCCTGCTGGACCCATCCTGGTGTCCCCAGTGTCCTCCAGGACCCATCTTGGTGTCCCCGATCTCCTGGACCCACCTTGGTAGCCCCCATTGCCTCCAGGTCCATCCCTGGTGCCCCCAAATCTCCACCTGGTCCTGCCCAACCCACCTGGGCACCATCATCTGCTCCAGATCCCACCTGAGCACCCTCCAAATCCCTCCAGGTCCTCCTGGTCCCCCCAGATCTCCACCAGGTCCCGTCCTGGTGACCCCAACCAACTTTGGTGCCTCCACCTCTTCCAGGTTTCACCTTGGTGACCCCAAATCTTCTCCAGGTCCTGCGGGTCCCACCTTGGTGCTCCCATCACTTCCAGGACCCATCTTGGTGACCTCCTCCAGGTCACATCTTGGTGCCCTCAATCTTCTTCAGGACCCACCTTGGTGCCCTCAGTCTTCTTCAGGACACCATCATCTGCTCCAGGCCCACCTGGGCACCCCCCAGCTTCCACCAGGTCCTCCAGGACCCACCTTGGTGCCCCCCAGTCTCCAGCAGGTCCCACCTTGGTGCCCCAACCTCTTCCAGGTCCTCCAGATCCCACCTGGGCAACCCCAAATCTCCACCAAGTCCCACCTTGGTGCCCTCCAGCTTCCAGCAGGACCTCCTTGGTCCCTCCACCTCTTCCAGGTTCTACCTTGGTGCTCCCAAATCTCCTCCAGGTCCTCCACATCCCACCCTGATGGACCCCAACCTCTTCCAGGTCCCACCTTGGTGACCCCAAATCTTCCCCAGGTCCCACCTTGGTGACCCCCAATGTCCAGCAGGTCCCACCTTGGTGCTCCCAAATGTCCTTCAGGTCCTCCACATTCCACCCTGATGGATCCCAACCTCTTCCAGGTCCCACCTTGGTGACCCCAAATCTTCTCCAGGTCCCACCTTGGTGACCCCCAATGTCCAGCAGGTCCCACCTTGGTGCTCCCAAATCTCCTCCTCCAGGTTCTCCACATCCCACCCTGATGGACCCCCAGTCTCCACCAGGTCCCACCGTGGTGACCCCAAACCTCCTCCAGGTCCCATCTTGGTGACCCCACCTCTTCCAGATCCCACATTAGTGACCCCAATCTCCAGCAGGTTCCACCTTGGTGACCCCAGATCTCCAGTTTCTACCTTGGTGACCCCAAGGTCCCCCCCTTGGTGTCCCCAAACCTCCTCCAGGTCCTCCACGTCCCACCCGGATGGACCCCAACCTCTTCCAGGTCCCACCTTGGTGACCCCAAATCTCCTCCAGGTCCCACCTTGGTGACCCCAGATCTCCTCCAGGTCCCACCTTGGTGACCCTAGATCTCCTCCAGGTCCCACCTTGGTGACCCCAAATCTCCTCCAGGTCCCACCTTGGTGACCTCAAATCTCCTCCAGGTTCCATCTTGGTGACCCTGAACCTCCTCCAGGTCCCACCTTGGTGACCCCAAATCTCCTCCAGGTCCCACCTTGGTGACCCCAAATCTCCTCCAGGTCCCACCTTGGTGACCCCAAATCTCCTCCAGTTTCTGCCTTGGTGACCCCAAATCTCCTCCAGGTCCCACCCTGGTGACCCCCAGTGTCCATCAGGTCCCCCAAAATGAAGAGGTCCCCACAATGGGGGGCTCCTCAAGATCTTGAGATGGTCCTCAAGGCAGGGAGGGGGTCCCCAAAATGGCAGGGGGTCCATGGAGGGGTCCCCAAAACCCTGGGAGGGTCCCCAAGGCCTCAGGGGTCCCCAAAGTGGAGAAGGTCCCCAGAAATGGGGGGGATCCCATGGGTGGGAGGTCCCCAAAATGGGGGGAACACCAAGATGGGGATGGGGTCACCTAAATGGGGGGTCTCATCGAGGTGATGTCCAAAATGGCCCCCCAAGGCCTGGGGGGTCCCAAAAGTGGAGAAGGTCCCCAAAATGGGGGGGGTCCCATGGAGGGGATCCCCAAAATGGGGATGGTCCCCAAAACGGGGGTCCTCTGGGTGATGTCCCCAAACTGGGGGGGTCCCCAAATTCGGGTGGGGGTCCCCAAATCGGGGTGCGGGGGGTCCCCAAACTGGGGGTGGTGGGGACAACCCAGCGCTACCTCCCAGCTCTGCTCACTGCCAGGGGACCCCCCCTTTTCCTCGGTGTCCGCTTCATTAAGTTTTAATTAATTAATTCTTAATTAATTCCTGGGGCTCATTCATTAATTTTTAAATCATTTCCCCCCCCTTTCCTTTTTTTTTTTTTTTTTTTTTAAGCCTCGAGGTTTTTATTTATTATTATTAAAAAAAAAATATTGAAAAAAAAAATATTAAAGGGACAGACCCCGCCCTCGCTCCCTCCCCGGGGTTTTCCCAGGATTCCCCCGGTCTCGGGAATTCCCTCGGGAATTCCTTCGGGAATTTTCCTCCCCTCCCCCGCCCCCCCCAAGAGGGGAGGTTCAATTTTGGGGTCCCCCCAAAAAGGGGCCGCCGAATTCTGTATTGGGAGGGGGGGGTGCTCCGGCTCCCCCCTCCTCCCCGCGTGTGAATAAAGCTCCGTATGGAAAGCGCTGCTGGTTCCTGGTGCCTTTGGAGCGGGACAAGGCGGGGATTGGGGATTTGGGATGGGAGGTGACAATTTGGGATTCTGTCCCCAAATGTCCCCAAGTGTCCCCAGGGCCGTGTTCCTCCGGTCCCCCCGCTGCCGGTTCCCGCCCGGAGTCTTTTTATTGCCGCACCGACCTCGAAGGTGCTCCCCGCATTCCGGTCCCCCATGCCGCTACTTCCGGTCGCCGCTGTCGCGACAGGGCGTGGCCTCGCTGGGTCGCCGCTCGCTGTCGCGACAAAGAAGCCGCGAATGTTTTTATTCCCTGGATCAGCAGGGCCAGTGGGGGCTCTTTATAGGGGAATCTATAGGGGAAAGTCCCAAAAGGCCCCCGAGCCTGCCCTAAGCCCCCCTAAAACCCCACAGGGAACCCCAAGCCAGCCCAGGGAGCCTCCCCCTCCCCAGCGCCCCAAAACCACCCCAGAGACTCCTCCGGGATCCCCAAAGCCACCGCAGGGACCCCATTTCCAACCACCCCCCCAATCCCCGGGGTTCCCCTCAGGAATTCTCCCCTCACGAATTCCCGCCGCGGGCCCTCAGGAGGACCGGGCTGGGTTTGCGCCGCCGCTCCCGCAGGAATTCCGCTTCCCAGCGATTCGGCAGCGCCCTCAGCTCCCGGTGCCGCTCTGTGGCCGCGGGACCGGGATCGGGATCGGGACCGGGACCGGGACCGGGATCAGCCTCCAGATCGGGAATCGAGGGGAGCGCGGGGTGGAACCCGGGGCTGCCTCAGAGCGAACCTCCCGCTCTGACCGCGCGCTAGCCAATAGGAAGGCAGGGATTCGTGATCGACAGCGAAACGAGCCAATGAATATCAGAATACCGCAAAGCGTCCGCCCACACACCAACAACCAAGGAAAAGCTACTATGAACTTTGACAGACAGCTGAAAAAGCCAATACCATCGCGAGGCTCCGCCCCTAGGGCGTATCCCCCTCCCTGATTGGTGGACGCAGCGCGCAGACCCGGAGGTGGAGCTTCCGTACGGGCACGGGCGGGTGGGGGCTGCGGGCAGGCGGTGAGTGGGGGACGCCATGTTGGGGGGGGCTCCAGGGGGGGTTTGGGGGTTCGGGGGGTCCCCGAAGGGGCTCAGGAGATTGGGGGCACCCTGTGGAAGTTTAGGGGCTCTGGGGGCGCTCCTTGGAGGGGTTTAGGGGGGTTGGGGAGGGGTCCCGAGCTGGATTG